AATTCTTTTAATGGCCATTTGATATTCCATTGTATGGATATATTGCATTCCCTTTTTCTGTTTATCAGCTGATGGACATTTGGCTACTATAAATAATGCTGCTATGAACATTCATGTACTAGTTTTTGTGTGGATGTATGTTTGCATTTCTCTTGGGAATCTTACTTTAAAAAATGTTTATTGTCTGTCTCCCCAACCAGAATGCTCTCTCAGGGACTTTGAGATTATTTGAGATTAAATTATTACAACTAAATTATTTGTAATAATTGAGATTATTTAACATCATTTTCAATAGCTGCATACACTGTCTTTGTATGGACATACTTTCCATAAACCTAAACTATTGTATGTTTGTGTTGCATTAATTTTTATAATGATAAATATACCATTAAAAATAAATCTTTGTGCATAAGTTTTTGCCTGTATTTAAGATTTTTCCCCCCAGGAAAAAGAGGGATTCCTGAGTCAGGATGTGTAAATATATGAAAGCTCTCAGTACTGCCAAGTTGTTTTTCAAAAAGTGTGTGTTAATTTCTATTCTGATTAGCAGATAAAATTCCCATATGGGCCATGTTATGAAATAGAAGTAAGCTACAGGCACGTAAGGAAGAGGCAGAATGGGGGATGGAGTAAACATTTTGCTAGTAACTCCCAAGCCCCCAACACCATGGCAACACAAAGTGGGTGCTCAACACACATCTGTAAAATGAATGAACTGTTCTCTTTCCTCTTTGGAAGCCCGGATCTTTTTCTTCATAGGATTCCTCAGTTCCTCTTAATTTTGGTCCCAACTTTTCACCAAAATTAGGTTGATCATCACGAAGAGAAAAGAAAGGTGAATCTTCCAAGTCTCTGCTGTATCTCCTGTACGCCCCCCAATCCCAGAGCTGGTTTTATTACATTCCAGCCCCTACTGCGTCTCTATTCTATCAAGTGGATCTGCTCTGCTCCCTACCCCACGTCCTTACCCTAGATAATAATGAGACATCAGGGCAACTGCTCATGGGTGGATCTCTGAAATGTCAGTGAGCCTTATTTAGTCTTCGTTTTGCCGGAGGCCAGCACTTACTACTCATCAGAGATTTGTTCTTTCCCTCTGAGAGCAGAAAATAAAGAAAGATCTCAAAGACAATGTTCAGAGGCTTCAAGGTTGAGAGAATTTACAAGCCTATTTTCTACTTCATAGTGACCTAGGAAGAAAAGAAGTTTTGATCCAAAATATTTTTCTAATAGAAAATAACAAGTTCTAATTTTTAAATAAGCTTTTGCAATTTAGGTCATTTTTACATTGGAGATGGTATGCGCATTTAACCCAGCGTTCCTGCACAAAGCCGAACTCTAAGAGAGTAACAGCATATGAGTACTATCATTCATCTAAAGAATTTAGTACTCATGCATTGGGAGCTGGCAATGTGAGAACCCCTGCTAAATAAATTCTGCAGTGGGATAAAGATGAGTAGAAACTAATCCTGGGCATCAAGGGGGTAACAACCTAGGGGATGAGAAGGACTGATACACATTTGAACTCAGAAACTGGAGAAAATATTTATTGTACCTCGACCATGGTGCAATTCTTAAAACTGTTACTAGTTATGTGCCAAGAGTTGTGCTAAGTACTGGGGATAAAAAATGTCAATGTCATTGTCCCTGCACACGAAGCGTTTTCAGTGTATTATAATACTGTGCAGGAAGAACTTTGAAACACATAAGAGAGCTCCAGGTTTTTACAAGAGTAATGGCGTTCCAGAGAAGGTTGAGTTCTCAGCGGGAGCAGGATTGCTAAACGACAGTTGGGCTCTGATTGGGAAGGAATGAGATCCTGAGACTAGGGACAGGGACATTTTGGTTGACACATTTGAAAATAGTGAGTGCCCAGATTCTCCTGAATGCTCTGAGCTCACTTCTCCCGATGAAGGGCTAGTTCCCTGGGTCTTGCACATGATGCATAGACTGCGGCCTGCACCACTTCCGAGGGCCTGCCCCATACTCCTTCCTGGCTTCCAGTCCATTAAATAGGGTGAAGACACAACATCACCCAGTCAAAGAGAAGTACTATGTCTGCTAAGGGAGGACGAAGACACTTAAAGAGGGGCCAACACATACTGACAGGAGCTGGATCAGAGAGTGGAATATAAAGTGGGATAAGGGAGAATTTATCCATATGGCTAGAATTCAACTCCTCATATACATCAAACACATGACCCTTTGTGATATAGCTTTTGCATATCTCTCCAACCTGAGGTTTTGTCCCAATTTGATCCCTCTGTTTCAGCCATACCAACTACCTAGATCAGGTTCTTTTACTGCTCTGTAAAACCAGTAATGACTCGCTTAGCTGGAATGTTTACTCCATCCCCCATTCTGCCTCTGCCTTAGGTGCCTGTAGCTTACTTCTATTTCATAACATGGCCCATATGGGAATTTTATCTGCTAATCAGAATAGAAATTAACACACACTTTTTGAAAAACAACTTGGCAGTACTGAGAGCTTTCATATATTTACACATCCTGACTCAGGAATCCCTCTTTTTCCTGGGGGGGGAAACATCTTAAATACAGGCAAACACTTATGCACAAAGAGTTTTTTTAAATGGCATATTTATCATTATAAAAATTAATGTAGCACAAACATACGATAGTCTAGGTTTATGGAAATTATGTCCATACAAAGAAAGTGTATGCACCTATTGAAAATGATGTTAAAGCAATTCATAATGATAAGAAAATGCTTATGATACACTAAATTAAAAAATTAAAAAAGCTTATATGATCTAAACTTTGTAATAATGTGATAGGAAAAAATATTGAAAGACAATATTCCAAAATCTAACAGTAGTTATTGCCAGGCATTGGAAATATGGCTGAATTAAATTTTCTTCTTCCTTACGCTTTTCTGTATTGCCCAAATTAGCTCAGGAAACAGATACTGTTTTCATAATCAAGATTCAGCTTAAGTATCACTTCTTCTGAGAAGAAAGGTCCTTTCACCCCAAAATGTGTGTGTGTGTGTGTGTGTGTATACATATTATCATGGTCCTTACCAAATACAATTATCTATTGACTCATGTGCACTCTTCTCCAGGAATACGAGGATAGGAATTTTGTCTTTTACTTCTTCTATAACTTTGGCCTCTATGGATTGCCTGGCACATAGCAGATCCCTAGCAAATAACTGTTTGCTTTTCATTCTTTTTTTGTGTGTGTGTGGAGGGGGGAGCTGTTGTTTTTGAACTTTTCATGAGTACAAGTGGTCTCCATTGTGCTGAACCTAAGAATAAAAACCCCACAACTTATTAAAAAACAACCTGAAGAAATACTAGAATAATAATAGATTTTACCTTTGGTGAGTGAAATCTACAGTTGGGTACCCTTTGAAACAAAATCTAGGACTCCTGACAAAAGGAAAAAGACTTCAGAGTCAAAACATGATGAATGTTGTAATTATTCCCTGAACTATAGTAACATGATGTTAATACTGATATTTTCCTCAAAATAAACACAGTGTCCTTCCAGATGAGCGCGAAGGAAGGCAGGTGTTTTCCCAATGCTGTTCTTCTCCGTGGGAGCCGTCAGCCCCAGCGCAATACTTCCCAGCTAGACCGTAAACAAAACTTATTCCAATTGGCAAAATGTGCGTTCAGGAGAAAAATAACAGAAACGAGCGGTCTCTGTTCTTCTCCAAAACGTATTCTCTTGAGCAGACTTTTATTGTGAAAGTGTTCATAGTTTGCATGCTTACTCCTTAGCTGGAAATGTGCGGCCAGTTTAACGGTTACATAACACAATATTTTATGTGAGAATTTTGAGCAGCACAACAGAGACATGAAAATAGACTAACCTAGCCTTCTTGGCAGAAAGTGGCTGTCTTGTGTAAAATGTGAAGTTAAGTTTATTTTGGGAGCTGTGTCAACAGGTTGGGGGGAAGCTAGGTGGCTGGGTTTGTCACTAAGGGTTCCTCTAGTGATAACCAGAGTTCCCGTTACTCTCGCCTCCCCGGCTGTTAGTGCCAATAGGCGTGTGGGAGTGGTGGCTGGTGAATTTGTTAGGTCAGGATGGCCTGGAGGGTGACTCACAATGACCTGGAACACGTAAGAGGACCCTAAGAAAGCCTGCCTTGGGCTGAGAATTCTGTCACTGCGTGATTCTTAGGAGAGAGGGGTGGGGTGGAGCGAGCACATAGGGGTGGGCACCCCCTAGTGGGGTAACCGCAAGGAGGGCCCAGCA